TGAATTTAAATGTAATATAGTTTTTTAAAATCACTGATATGGTTTCAGATTCCATATTACAATTAACCTTTAAGAAATTAACCACTTGTTGAATTTTAGTGGAGTATCAAAGAATATCCTCAGTTATCTGAAATGGTTACTAAAATGCCCCTCCCTTTTCCAACTGCCCATTTGTGTAAGGCTGATTCCCCACCCCTGTCCCAGAGTTCAGCCAAAACAACATATGGCAACAGATTGGATGCAGAAGCAAATGTGAGAATCAGACTATCTTCTATTTAAGACAGATGTTAGAGATGTTTGCAAAAAAAATGTAAAGGAACACTCCTTATCTCAGAGTATTTCTGTTGCTTCTTTGGAAAATAGTTACTTTCCTTTAAAATTGTTTTTTATGTTCACAGGCAATGGTTTTATTATTTGTGAATAAATACTTTTATTTCAAACTAGAGGCCCGGTGCACAAAATTTGTGCATTGAGGGTGGGGGGGGCGGTTCCCCCTCAGCCTGGCCTGCACCCTCTCGCAGTCCAGGAGCCCTCAGGGGATGTCCCGGAGGTGGGAGCGCTACTGCGCTTGCCAGCTGTGAACCCAGCTCAGGGCTTCTTGCTGAATGGCGCTCCCCCTGTGGGAGTGCACTGACCACCACGAGGCAGCCCCTGGTGGTCAGTGCATGTCATAGCGACTGGTCGTTCTGCTGTTCAGTCGATTTGCATATTAGCCTTTTATTATATAGGATGTGATAAATATCATACCTCTAACCCAAAAGAACAAAAGCTTTTAGGGGGTCTTCTATTTTAAGGCTGTAAATGGTCTCAAGACCAAACATTTTGCAAAGTGCTGGTCTAGGGCAGTGTCTGTGCAGAGTTGGAATAGTAGTTGCTTGGTCTGTGGGGTGGACAAGAATGCTTTCATTGTATAGCTGGAAGGCTGACACAGAACGTTACAGAACAGTACTCTCTCTGTTTCAGTTTGGCATGATTTTTAACAGGATATGTGTTAAAAGCACTTGCTGGTATAGCAGCTAGAAATAGATATTTAGTTTTAGAGCAGTTACTAAAATCCAGCATGTTTCTAAAAGTCTTCGGGTGTAGAATATAATCTTATATATGTGAGAAATTTCTGGTAGCTCTTTGTGTCTGTTCTATTAAGGGTTGAGGGAATGTAAAGACTTAGTGGTTTTTGTAATGACCACATAAAACTTTCCAGCTGAACAGCTGACCTGTACTAATACATCACTTAGCAAAGTGTTCACGTCTGTGTTAGTACATTTGGCTAACCTGATTTTGGCATGTCTAAATGCATGTCTTTAGTTTCTTCTTGCATTTTAGTAAGAATTCCTTTATTTCAGAGTGTAGTGTCATTCCTGTTTTTGATGTGCATTTGTAGTGTCTGGAAACAAACCTCAGTAGGAGAGCCTGAGAGAAGACACATTGCTGTTGATGCTTTGTGTAGGTAGGGAGAGGCTGTGAAATAAAGAAGATCGCTGGGCTTTGATTTTCTAAAATTGGCCAGACTATCCACCCTTTTTTAGTGGGAATACCTTTCCCTTCCTGCTTACCTTCTTCTAGTGTTACCCTAGAGCCCAGACCTATTTCCTGTAGTAAAATGCTAGGATCTCTGTTTACTTCTGAATTGTTGATGAATCTTCAATTTTTTGTCTGGGCAAAGAGAAGAAGAGAGAGAGGTAGAGGCAAGGACCTCTTCCTCACCATCATCATTAGCAATGAAAACCGTTAGACATTTTTTAAATAGCTGTATGCTTGTTTTTATGGGCTTGTGGAGTAGTTAAAAAGTGAGCCTCCTTCAGGAGACCAAGGGTATAAACAAATATAGGACAAACCAGTTTATTTGGCAAAGAAAAAAAGAGCTAATGGTTTGGACCCTAAGACTGGCCACATTTCAAAAAAAGTTACCCAAGAGAAAAATTTTCCCGGGGTTGATTAAACCAACCAGAGACTCTAACCCAGCCGTGGGCAAACTATGGCCCGCGGGCCGGATCTGGCCCGTTTGAAATGAATAAAACTAAAAAAAAAAAAAAGACCATACCCTTTTATGTAATGATATTTACTTTGAATTTATATTAGTTCACACAAACACTCCATCCATGCTTTTGTTCCGGCCCTCCGGTCCAGTTTAAGAACCCATTGTGGCCCTCAAGTCAAAAAGTTTGCCCACCCCTGCTCTAACCGTATAATGGCTTAGCTTTATCTGTCTCTGCTGGCATAATGTAGGTTTTACATAAATCACTTTTAAGTCTGTAAATATTGGGTGATTAAAAGAAGAAAATTAATTACTGTTTTCAGTAGCCTGGGAACAGTGTCGTCTTTGTCAGTGCTAATGACATGCCAGTGATCAGCCAAATGAAAGACAGCTATCTGTGAAAGGATATTTCTGGCAATATCTTTATTTTTGGAAGAAAAACACAATGCAAAAATCTAAAATCTTGAAGATAAAAGCTAGTTGGGCCTCCATGTTCATCTAGGCCAGTGATGGCGAACCTTTTGAGCTCGGCGTGTCAGCATTTTGAAAAACCCTAACTTAACTCTGGTGCTGTGTCACATATAGAAATTTTTTGATACTTGCAACCATAGTAAAACAAAGACTTATATTTTTGATATTTATTTTATATATTTAAATGCCATTTAACAAAGAAAAATAAAAAAAAATGAGTTCACGTGTTACCTCTGACACGCGTGTCATAGGTTCGCCATCACTGATCTAGGCCAACAGAGGATTTTCTAGAGACCAGAAAGATAGCAAGACTTGCCCTGGGAAGATCAACTGCCTAGTTATAGTATAATTAAAGATAGAACCAAAGCCCTGGCTGGTGTGGCTCAATTGGTTGGGCATCGACTAGTGCACTGAAAGGTTGTGGGTTCAAATCCCGGTCAGGGCACAAGCCCAAATTTCGGCTCATTTTCCTCTTCCTCCCTCTCGCTTCGAAGCTCTTTCTCTCTAAAAATGAATAAAAAATATTGAAAAGAAAAATAAGAAAAGATAAGAATCAGAGCCTCCTGACTCCACTTGTCATCCAGTTTGGGGCAGATGATGAAGTCATTTTGGGAGACTCTGGAATTAGGCTTTCTATGTTCAGAACTGTACCTCGCTCCTCATCTCAAAAAAGGTGATAATCACACAGTTCCACAAATCCCCAAACCAACAACTCTGCAAACTCAGTGTTCCTGTCATTCATTTGGAAGCAAATGTGACATAAACTGATATGAGGCTATTTATAATCTTTATTTATCTTCCTTAGTGGGACTATTCATATGCTTCACTACAGAAATACTATTATTTGATTATAAAGTACCACTCCAGGCCACAATAGGGTTTTTTTCTATTGAGTTTAGGAACCACAATCTACCCTCCTAATTCAGAAGGGTGAGTTAGGTGAAAAAGTGAGAAACATTGGAAGATAGGCTATTATTAATACAGAATTGAGAATTGCTAGATAATGTTGATGTGGTTAAAAGTTGTGTTCATTGAACCTAGAATATTTCTCTTTATTAAAAAGAAAAAAGAGTGCATTCTATATTGTTAAGTTTTTCATGTCTTAATTTTATAGCAAAAGGCCAATAACGTAAAGCAGTAGAAAGAATAGCTCCTGATACACGTTGAGCTTAAAAAAGAGCAAGTTACAGAAGAACAGGTGTGCTTTGTTTTTGTAGTGTGCATGCATTCTGTACACACAGTTTATATGGAAGGATGCATATACCAATTGTAAACAGTGTCTACAACCAGGGAATGGGCATGCAGAGAGAGGAGGGAGGAGGTCCTTGTACTTCCGCTTTGTATATTTACTGGTATTTGAATTTTTTTTTTTACAATGAACAATTATTTTTGAAATTTTTTAAAAAGGAAAATTGATAGTATTTTAAAATCAAAATTAATTTTAATTCATGTTCTGTATTTTCTAAGAAGTAACTTTTTTTTATAAAAAAAGCTTTTTTTAAAAATATGTTTTATTGATTTTTTTACAGAGAGGAAGGGAGAGGGATAAAGAGTTAGAAACATCAATGAGAGAGAAACATCAATCAGCTGCCTCCTGCACATCCCCAAATGGGGATGTGCCCACAGCCAAGGTACATGCTCTTGACTGGAATCGAACCTGGGACCCTTGAGTCCGCAGGCCGACGCTCTATCCACTGAGCCAAACCGGTTAGGGCTAAAAAAGCTTTTTATAAAACTTCTGTAAGGGTAGTTAGAATTGAAAACATATGAAATTTCAAATAATACCATGAAATAAGTTGTAACTTCTGATTATGTGATAGTTGGCACAGTTTACATTAGGAGTCAATTTTAACCAGATTTTCTTGTGTAGATTTATTTGAAAAAGAAAACAAAACCAAAAACCTGTTTAGTCTAGAAGAAGTCATTAAACATGAGAGTGTTTTTTTCTGAAACCACGCGTTTAGTTCTGCATTGGGCACCATGCTTACCGCTAGCCAGGATATAGCGACCTGACCTGGTAGCCTTAAGCAGCCTCTTCGTAAGGTATTTTTACATGGTCAGCCCTCACCTTGAAAAACAGACTGAAGAAAGTCAGTGACTACAAGATGGTCAGTCACAGACTAGAACACAGCACAGGACTGTGAAGTAGAAGGAGCTGATTTCAAAAAAATTCACCTCAGACTTTCAGAAGTCTTAATCGACGAGTGTCCAGGGTCTCCACTGATTTGAGAGATGTTGCATACGCAATAAACACTAGTATCAGACCTTAAGACACTGAGCTTGGGAGGGTAATGACAAATGCTTCAGAATACAAAGGGTACCAAAAAGCCAAGCCATTCAAGTAAAACACCAGCAAAAGTTCCTCAGGGGGAAAAAAGCTGCTTATATTTCTATAGCTCTGGAGTCTGGAAAAAAATTTTAATTGCTTTTCAAAATGCCTACTAGCCCCTAATCATAAGAATAGCTGCTCAATCTTAAATTAATTTTTAATTACATCAGAAGATTAATTAATGCAAATGAAAACCATATTGAGATACCAATTTTCATCTGTCAGGTTGGTAAAAATTCAAAAGTTAGACAATGCTCACTGTTGAGAAGACAATGAAGAAAGAAAAGAAGAGAAAAGAAAAGAAAAGACTCTTATCCATTACTAGTGAGAGTGCAAAATGATTTAACTCTCTGGAGGGCAGTTGGGCAACATCTGTCAAAGTGCATTTCCTTTTCAATCCAGATCTCAATTTTAGGAACTCTATTCTACACAGATGTGTCATTTCATTGTGTGTGCAGTGCAGGTAAATTTACAAGTCTCTATTAAAGAATTGTTTGTAAAGGAATTTTTGGATACCACAATGCCCATTTAAAAGGGATTTGTTTTAAAAGAAAAGCAATGTAGTATATCCACACAACGGAATATAATGGGGATGTATAAAGAAAAAGAAGAAAAAGTTCTCCACATATTGATACAGGAAGGTCTCTAGGCTATACTGTAAAAGACGGGTGGGGGAGTACAAAGCTGTGTATTTAAATGTGTGTGTGTGTGTGTGTGTGTGTGTGTGTGTGTGTGTGTGTTTATTTTTTAGAGAGAGAGGAAAGGAGAAACATCTATCAGTTGCCTTCCATATGCACTCCAACTGGGGCCTGAACCCACAACCTGAGCATGTGCCCTGACCAGGAATCGAATTTGCAACCTTTTGGTGCATGGGACAGTGCTCAACCAACTGAGCCACACCGGCCAGGGCCAGAGCTGTGTATTTAATATTTTGCTGTTTGTATAAGACATGGTGAGAATGCTCTAAAGAAACTAATAAAAGTGATTATTGCCCAGCCAGTGTGGCTCAGTGGTTGAGCGTCATCCCATGAAGCAGGAGGTCATGGTTTGATTCCCAGTCAGGGCACATTCCCCGGGTTTTGGGCTCAAGCCCCCGGAGGGGGCATGCAGGAGGCAGCCAATTGATGATTCTCTCTTATCATTGATGTTTCTCTCTCTCTCACTCCCTTCTTCTCTGAAATCAATAAAAAAAATTTTTAAAGTGATTATCTAGAGATAATCCAGTCTGACCCTCATCACTTCACTAAGACTATTTTTGCTAAGGTCACCAGTGACATACACATTAAATAAATCCGGTGGACACTGCAGTTTTCATCTTGACCTCTCAGCAGTCTTTGTCACAGGTGGCCTCTCCTTCCTACTACAAACAATGAATGCTGAGTACGTACAGTGTTCAGCTCTCTATATGAATTATTCATTTAATTCTTTAACAGCTCTTTAAAATAGGTGTTGTCATTATCCCCATTGTACAGATGAAGCTGGACCTTAGAGAGGTTAAGTAATTCCATCTTAGTAAGGGGTAGATCAAGGGTTTAAATTCAGACACCATCCAATCCTGCTGCCTCTTTGAAACTCATCATCCTGCGATCCTGGGTTTTCTTCCTCTTTCTCTGTTTCTCTTTGGATTTCTTTGCAGCTCCTTCTTGTGCCTGGTCTTTAGGTTTTGGAGGTTTCTTAGGGTTTTATCTTGGATCCTCTTCTCACTGCTGCTAGGCAGTCTTACCCACACCATGGCTTCAGTTACCAGATAGAAGGTGATGAGCTCCCAATATATATTTTATAGCTTAGAGCTGCTTCTGGTCTGTAGACCCAGATATCTAACCATCTCAACCATCTAAAACCTAATTTTTAACCTGCTCCTCCTATGCTGCCTTTTTTAGCTAAATGGTACAAGCTGTCCACCTGCGGCTCAGCAGAAACCTGGGGACCTTCCTCGTCCCGTTAACCATCACCAAGTCCTGTGTGTGTCTCTTTCATCTTCTCTAAGGAGAGCAGCCTCCACAGTTCTCACACTTTCTCCTCGTGTCCTGCACTGTCTTCTCCCTTTCACAACACTTCCCATGATTATATTCACTTGCTTTGTGAACGTTGGGTTTTTTAATTCCTCAGCCTGAAATTTATTTTTTTATTCCTTTAGAAAAGACATTCAGGGAGGAACCAAGACAGTCTTATTTGTTACTATATCCCCAGTGGCTAGCAGAGTGTCTGTCTGGCACAGAGGCATCATTAAATATTTGCTTAAATGAAAAAGAAACAAATTTATTTAGGAAAACCCCTAACAAAACAAGAATGGGTAGTGGGAGGGTGAACTCCTGGAGACAGACTTACAAACAAGGTTTCTGAGAGTCAAGCCATGGAAGGGAGCTAAGGAATTGGCCGTAGGATTGAGAGAAGTAGGGGAGTTGAGGGCGTGGAATTGCAGGACCCAAACTGTCATTACATGTGGGAGGTAAGATCAGGGGTGGCAACAATGCAACAAACTGCCCTAGCCGGTTTGGCTCAGTGGATAGAACATAGGCCTATGGACCAAAAGGTCCTGGGTTCAAATCCGATCTAGGGCACGTACTTCACATGTAGGCTTCTCCCTGGTCAGGGCGTGTGGAGGAGGCAACCAATCAATGTGTTTCTCTCACATCGATATTTCTCTCTGTCTTTCCCTTTCTCTTCTACTCTTTTTAAAAATCAATGGAAAAATATCCTTGGGTGAGGATTAAAAAAAGAATGCAACAGATTTCTAGCTTTGACAGCTGAGGGGATCATGTTACCGTTCCTTGAGGGGACCAGGTATGAAAAAAAGAAGAATGACTTTAGTTTTGGACCTGTTGACTTTGAAGAACTTCCCGCGGGCCTCCCAGATGGAGAGAACCAGTAGGCAGTTATAAAAATGGAAATAGAATTTAGGAGAGAGATACGGGCCTTACCTCATTACCAGTAAAATACTATTGGTAATTCAAGTGTAAACTGATAAAAGTTTACTCACTGAGACTTTTCATCATTGGTACAGAATAGGTAGATATTATGGTAATTTTTAAGTTGGGTTTGGATAAGATCTACTGTATGTCATACAGAAATGGAATTTTTACATTAATATTCAATATCCTGTGAATATTAACTAATAATAGCTGTGAAAACTAGCATATCTCATTTTAATGATGTTATTTTGTTAATGCTAATTTATACCTTTTTATATTAAAGATGAAATAACAACTTAGGTTTGTAGACTGTAAATTGTGTGAGAACTTGCTGCCATGTGATTTAATTTTTTTCTCATTTTTCTAGGGCCTATTCCCTGGTGGATTCCAGTCAAGTGTCTACATTTCTGATTTCCATTCTCCTGATAGTCTATGGTAGTTTCAGGTAAGATGCTCTCAATGTGAGACTAATCTCAGTGGGAGGTGAGATTAGCACCAAAACTTACTGCTCTGTGAAGAGAAATATGACTGGCAGGGATTGAGTTAGAACGGGATAATTCTGATATTTCTTCTTTAATTTGGCTGCTGTTAAAAGACTTCTTGGTTTTGCTTATATGATTTTGGAATTTTAATGGAAACATGAATTGCTTAAATTCTGGTTCTGAGAATAATGACTCCCATGAACACACTTATTGAGAAGGTTAAGGAGAAAATCCTTGACAGTGATTTTAGAGTCTCAAAGGGAACAAAGTTTCTTAATATAGGTTGACAGAGGGTGAGCCATGTGAAATTGCCTATAGTCAACTTTTTTGACCTACACAAATAATTTATGGTTCAGCCTAATTATGGACATTAGTATTTACCAAGTATTTTCTCTGTTGACTTTGGGAATGCTGAGACTGGATCCTCTTGAAATTCCTATTCTAGAAGGCAGCCACAGGAATAGGAAGTTAGACATTTATTCTTCTTTTTCACTATCCTTTCTTGAAAGGAACTTTAATATAACTCAAATAGTTTTGTGGCTGACACTCTTAACAATAAAGGTCACATAAGAAATTTTAAATTGAAAACTTGAAAGGGAGTGATGGTGATAAATGAAATAGGCATAAGAATTTTAAACTATTATATCTGGATTTTAATAGAACTTAGCAAAATCACAGGCTTTATCTCAACACTGCGTAGAACAAGTACAATATTTTCGGTAATTCCAGTATCAACTGATACATGTTTTAATCATTGAGACTTCTATTGAGAATCCTACATTCATAATGAGTCTTAGGAAGCATTAGTTAAGCCAGAGCAACTTAGAACCTTATCACATAATCTTGATATTTTTATATTGCTATCCTTTGTACAAGTTTCTTATTTTTTCTCTTTGTGTATATGTCAGCATTTTCAAAGACGGTAATTTTTTTTTAATATATTTTATTGATTTTTCACAGAGAGGAAAGGAGAGGGATAGAGAGTTAGAAACATCGATCAGCTGCCTCCTGCACACCTCCTACTGGGGATGTGCCCACAACCAAGGTACATGCCCTTGACCGGAATCGAACCTGGGACCTGGGACCTTTCAGTCCGCGGGCCGACACTCTATCCACTGAGCCAAACCGGTTAGGGCCAAGACGGTAATTTTTTAAAAAATCTTTAGACCTACAACCCTAGTGCTACAGTAAGTCTTTTTTTTTTTTTTTAAGTCTTTATTTAATGTCAGTAAGTTCTGTGACTTTAAGTGAAATGCTGTATAATGAAGCCAGTTTTACCATAGGCTGATTGATGTAAACAAGGGTTAAGTTCTTATAGCATCTTATCAACGGTATAACTAAACTAGTGGCCCGGTGCACGAAATTTGTGCACGGGGGTGGGGTGTCCCTCAGCCCGGCCTGCACCCTCTCCAACCTGGGACCCCACAGGACTAAACCGGCCGTCAGACATCCCTCTCGCAATCTGGGACCACTGGCTCCTAACTGCTCACCTGCCTGCCTGCCTGATTGCCCCTAACCACTCTGCCTGCCGGCCTGCTCGCCCCAACTGCCCCCTCCCCCCCGTGTCGGCCTTCTTGCCCCATACTGTCCCCCCTTGCCGGCCTGATCGCTCCCACCCTCCCTGCCGGCCTGCTCACCCC